GAGAGAGAGAGAGAGAGAGAGAGAGAGAGAGAGAGAGAGAGAGAGAACAAGTGTGATCTGATCCTATGTGTGATTGAGAGAGGGAGGGAGGGGGAGAGAGAGGGGGGAGAGAGGGAGGGAGATCTGATCCAACCTCAGAGAGTTATACCAGGGCTGGGGAGGAGTGAGGATGTTTTTCATTCAGCCTCTTTCTTCTCCCTGCTCTTCCTCCTCCTTCAGACAAAAGCTGCACTTTTTGTCTGTCCATTGCAGTGCAGTGCCTGGGATTTACTTTGACAGCAGTGGGGCTTGGGGATGGTCAATCCCCATTTGTGGCACAGCAGAGAAGGAAGAAGGCAGAAGGCAATCCCACCACCACCACCAGACCAGACCAGCCTGGCGAGGTGGGGTGGGAAACAGCGGTGCCGAAAGCAGCTGAAGGCACACTGGCTGTAGCTGCCCTGCCCCCTGCCTCACGTCACCTCATCCTGTAGGATGAGCCTCCCATTCCGCCCACCCACTGGAGACTCCTGGAGTCCCTTCCCAACTCTGCCAAGCCATCACAGGCACCACCCATGCGAGCAACGTTAAGCTGGTCATGTCCCCAGGCCATGCCCAGTCAGACGTGACCAGGGTGATCATGACTCTCCTCCCCCCAGCCCCTGGAGGACAATCCCAATGCTGATCCAGTCCTCAATGAAATAGAGTTTCACCCTGATCTAGCAGGAACAAGAAGGGTATATTCCATAGTGGCTCTCTCCCTCTGGATCATCATCATCTCCTTTGACATTTTTTTTTTTGCAAGGCCCTGAAGGCCTCATTTTGCACCTGGGGAATCCAGAATGGGATGGAGCCCATCAAGTGGCTTATTTGATTAATTAATTGATTGATTGATATTTCTGAAAGGGGAGTTATAGCTTGTTATTGTTTTTATATTGGCTTTTTATCTTTGTAAGACACCTGGAGTCATTATGGGTAAGTTAAGAAGCCATATAAATTTTCTTAAATAAATAAAATATAAGGGGTCTTCTGAGCTTAATAAAATATATTATGCTTATGAAGACAATTATTGACTGGATATTCTAAACTGGACCTTGTAAATTGTATAATGTGTTGTGATTAACTTTATACATTTTAGTTTAGATATTAGATATTTCATTTATAGCTTCAGAGCAGAATATGCTGACATGAGGGATAAAATGGGATATAAATTTAACACAAATAAATTAATGTCGCCTTATAAAAAATGTGGAAAAGATGCACCTGTCTATAACAGTTCAAAGTAACCAAAGTAATCTTTGCTATTAGACTTTGAAAGCTTCTGATAGATCTATAAATAGAGCTTTGGGGAGAGCGTGATTGCTTATATAACCAATCAATTTGTCAAGAAAAAAAGAAAAGAGTTGTACAGTATAAATTGTGGCTTATAAGTGGATTGTTAAAAAAGTTAAACTAGTGTAGGAAACGTAGTACATTCAAACAGCCGTATACCAAACTCTCAACAGCTATATAGTTAGTAAATCAAGGAAGCAAAAGCTACACAGATGTCAGAAAGTCATGCTAGTTGGGAGTAAAAAACATAATCTTGAAATTTGTAAAAGTTTTCTTAGGCAGACTTAGCAAACTAATGAAGGCGTCCGAAAATGTTTCCTTCCCATTGTCCCATGTATGGATTCTGCTGCCTCTTCTCACATCAGTTTCAACCAGGAATGTCCAACTTTGGGAACTTCAACTGGTGGAGTCTGGGAATTGAAGTCCATGAGTCTTAAAGTTGCCAAGATTGAACACCTCTGGGTTAAAATAACATAGAATAATAGTTAAATAATTCAACTTAATAATCCATTTAAGCAGTGGTCCCCAACCTTTTTTATGCCGCGGCCCGGTACCGGCATCAGCAGGGCACCGCCATCTTGTTTTGATGAAAAAGTGCTTCCGGTGAGCTTTCTACCCGGAAAAGCTCACCGGAAGCACTTTTTCATCAAAACAAGATGGCGGCGCCCAGCAAACCAGCGGCCCGGTAGGATTTGTTCCACGGACCGGTTCTGCAGACCGGTGGTTGGGGACCCCTGCATTTAAGAATAACCAAATGTGTATTAGAAAATTATTGTATCTTAAAGACAAGATAACTTGATAATTCTTTTCTGTAACATACCCACAAAAAGAAGCAAAGCTAATATTACTAATATTATAATTTATCAAGGACAAATCTTTTTTAACTTATT